AAAATTGTCTTATTCATATTAAAAAGTTGAAGAAAAAATAACAATGAGTGTGAACCGTAAAAATAGTGAGATGAAAAATAATAATTTATAAACTATAGTTATAAACATTATAGTTGTAATAATAATAATTACATTAAAAATATGTCATTTTTAGAGTAATTCGTTGGGAGTAGAAATAGTTTGAAAAAATTGAGTATAGTTGGAAGGACTAGAAGAAACTGAAAGCAACTGGTAGAAACTAGAAGTAACTGGAAGAAATTAGATGGTAACAGTTTAAGCCCTAAAGAACATGCTCTAAGTGACGATGAATGACGCTTAACAAAATAAAAATAAAAATTGTTTAAAATAATATTCTTATTTATTTACTCCCTCCGTTCTCAAAAATAGAGCCCGTGTTGATCCGAACCTGCCCGGAGCGAGCCTCTCATAGAGGCAAGTGAAGTTGGTGAGCCGTTCTTCCTCTTTCATTTTTTCCACTTCCAACAAAACACTTCCATTTTCTATTAGAAAACCACTTTTACCCTTACTTTTTCATACCCTACCTATCACATCATACTTTTTTTCTAATAATCTATCCATCACATCTTACTTTTACCCATCACATCAGGGGCAAAATTGGAAATCAACTATAATTTAACACTTCCTTATTTTTGCCCCAAATCCAAATGGGAAGTGTTTTTCCAAACGGAGGGAGTATTATTTAGTTAAACTCTTCACCATCCCACTTCCCATCCTTATAAATAAAGCCATATGGCTGCCCTAGAGGTTGTTTTGAGGGGTGAGGCCTTGAAGGAATGGCAAGATTGCTAGAGAGCATGGTGGTGCTGTCAAAATTATGTCAAAAACGGTATTGAAGGTGTACTCTTGAATATAACATTTGTCTAGAGATAAGTCACATAACACCATGTATGCATAAATTTGTGCATTTAACTATTATAGAATGCATCTTTTATACGTTTGACCATAAATAAGTAAATAACAAGATCAAATAAGAATTTTAACAAATAATAGATCAGATAAAATTGTTTCTTAAATATATTTTATTTTAATTTTTGTATAAATATTTAAACATGAAATATTTGTACATATATCTTGATGGAAGCATTTCGGCCAGCATCTAAAAAAATTACTGTAACATAAATAGTAACGGCAAACCAAATAAAGAAATAAATTAAAGAAGCAAAACAAAATATAAGTAATATTAGATGGGTAAGGTTATTACGATCCAGAATGTAAAAATGAGAGGTATAAAAATTAATTAATAATATATTTTATTTCTTGTAAACCATTTTAGATATAAATAAAATTAGACAAAGAGAATTATTTTATTTTTATTGAATGTTTGAGAACCACTAGGTATAAGTTTAATTATATAAAATAATTGATTTTTATTTATCAAAACACCAAATCTAAGTAATTCAATAGATACATAAATCAAAATAATTCAATAAATTATATCTAATTACTTTGGGAAGAATTTTTGAGGTCTTGAGTAGCCTAGAAATTATTCGGTGAGCTGAAAAAAATATACTAATTGAAAAAGTGTTTAGGAAAAAATCATAACAATACTCCGACAAATTTTTAATTTTTGAAGAATACTCTAAAAATACATTAATTACACTATTATTCCCAAAATTGCTCTTTTTTAAACAAAAACACTCCACCCAGTCATCCCATCTTACTTGGACAATATAATTAGGAAATATCTAAATAGACTTTTAAAGTGATGATTTGAAAAAAAAAATCTTTTTCGGATTTTCATAAAAAATAAATTACTTATTTCTCCTCCAACTCAAATATCAATTACGTCTTTCACAATTAAGGTATGTCATTTTTGCTTAGAATTCTAAAGTTGAATATTGGAAGAAGTTGTAAGGAATTGGAAAAAAATTGAAAAGAGTTAAAAAAAAAGTTAAAAATAACTTTCCAACCTAAAAAATACTCTTAATTATAAGTCAATAAGATTGGTGGATAATTGAAGCTGATAGAGGTGGTCCATTTATAGGCCAAAGAAGACGAAGAGTTGTGTAGAAGTTGAGGATTTTCAAAGATTTTGGGGAGCTGCGTAATTCTATTTGAGATTTTAGAGATTAATATTTAACTCATGTCCAAATCAACTTATTTTACCTCAGTTGGAATACATTTTTTGTCTAATTTTCTCCAAATTGAAATCCAGTTGCACTGTACATCCAAGCTCTACGCAACTATATAATTTTTACATTTATTTGAAATACTTTTTCTCGTATCATATTTTTAGGTGTATGAGTTTGACATGGTCAAAATTGATTTAATTGATATATATATATATATATATATATATATATATATGTATGTATAAAAAATATTCTCATATACAATTAATATTATTCAATCTAATGACTTATTCCAATAAACAATTTTCAAGAGTTCACATCATCAATTACTTCTTGATTTTATACAAGTTACATTTTTAACATTTAAAAAATGTCATAACTCAAAATCTATAAATCACATTTGTTCATGAAATATACAATTGGATCTGTCTCTTCGAGATCTATTCATAAAACTCAGTTTTAGAAAAAGACCATTAACTCCAGAAATTCCTTAATTTTCAGTCAAACACATGAATAATACACTATTGGATCAAAATATAATTTTTTAAAATATGTTTATTACAAAATAACTTTTAGGCCATGTTTTGGGGCGCTACAATATATATTTACTGGTTATTTGCCACTAAAATTTATGTTTAGTGTATAGTGTTTAGCTCAACGCAGATACTAGGGATAACAAAGGGAATTACTGTTGAGGAGGGAAATCATAGCGTGGAAGCCTTGTCAAGAAAAGAATTGAGCCTTAATATTTAATAATGAGTTACATTATTTTGGGTTTGAACCATAAGTTGTATTTACTTTCGGACGCTCTTACTTTATGCTTACGTGAATAATCCTTAGACTCTTTAATTATCAAAATGAGAACTATTTTAAAATAGTATTTTACTATGAAAACTCAATTTTTCTATGACTCCGGTTTGAGTGACTGGGATCACCCAGGGTGGGGTGTTACACGATCCTCGAAAGCAGGATCCAAGGGGCAGAGTCCTCGCTCGGGTCGAGAAGTGTTAATAAGTAAATTGTACATTTGAATCTAGGAAACATTTATACTTTAACCCTTTGTAGAACATTGAATGTTGTTATGCAACATTCCAATGTTGAATAATGAGATACAACACCGCTTTGCCCCCTTGCGGAAGATCAACTAAAATTTGAGTGTTGGTATTCAAACATTCAAATGTTTAGCGATTAGACTTGTGAATTCACGCGTAAACAGTTATAAATATTTAGAAATTAAACAAAATATTCGAATGTTTACTGGAATTGTTTTCACCAATAGTCATGCGTGATCAGTCATTTCTCATTTCTCGATATATAGAGACTCATGATATATTTTAGATAATTATACTTCCACATACATTTTAGATACTAACGTATTATCCAGTTGAAGTATTTTGGAATATCCTGAAATAACTTTAACCTTAAAATGTTTTTCACGCGATTCATTGACTCTATCAAATCTTCTTCACATTTCTTCGTACATTGATCATATGTAATGATGCAATGCAGCATTGTTAGTCCTTCCAAATTTCCAACAAAATTATTGTATTTCGTAGTAATGTCATCTAGTTTTGTAAATTTTTTGATATAATTTTTTAATATGTAGTTTTTGTTTTAAAATTTTACATCATTTTTCAATGTAATGATTTAAAAATAATTTCAGCAATGAAAAATTTATTTGTAGATGGGAGAAATATTTGAATTACCAATTTACTCCGTAATATTGAGATTCATTGATACGAAGGGCCTGTTTGGGAAGAGCGTTAGAGATTAGCGTTAGCATTTTGGATTAAATTTTAACGGTGCAGATTAATTTAAAAACGATAACGCTAAACACCGGCCGTAGATAACCTTTTCAAAACCCTAACCCTTAACTTCCCGAAACCGTAAGGGTATGTTTGGATTGAGGTAGGTAAAATTTTATTAGGTAGGTAATGGTAGGTAATTGAAGGTAGGTAATTGAAGGTAATATGTTGAAAATTTGTGTTTGGATATTTAGTAGGTAATGTGAGGTAGGTAAAACAATAAAATTACTTAAATGCCCTTTTGCTTGTTTTTCTTTATTACGTGTTTCACTCTCATTCTCTTCTACGTCATCATCAGGAGTCCAAGCCTCGTCAGGATCCCCACGTAGCAAATATTTGTGTAACAGCAAAAAAAACAAGAAAAAATAGCAAAAAAACAAAAAAACAAAAAAAAAAGCAACAAAAAAATACAACGAAAAAAACCACAAAAGCAGCAAAAAAACCCCTCCAAGAAAATTGAAAAACAAAACCGAAAAAAACATAAAAAAAACCAGAAAAAGCAAGATATTTCAATAATTAGAAAAAAAAAGCATAAGAAAAACAGAAAAAAAAAAAAGCAAAAAAATTTAATACACGAAGACTTGGAAACAGAAAAAAAAAGAAAAGCAAAAAAAATCAATACAGGAAGACTTGGAAACAAAAAAAAGCAAAAAAAATCAATACACGAAGACTTGCAAAAAAAATCAATACACGAAGGGAGAGAAAACCTGCATCGGAAGAGGAGCTGGAAAGTTGCGGCAGAGGAAGATCGGCGATGGGAGAGGGAGATCGTCGCACCGGCTCTAGCGTCGTCCGGGATCTTCGATGGGAGAGGAAGGAGCAGTGTCCGGCGTATGCAAAGCCGGAGAATACGAGAAGGGCAGAGTAGGGAACGAAAATTAATTACCTAAGCAGTTCGCCAAATTGGCGGTCACTAAAAAAACACTGTTCGAAGGTAGGATTACCTCCATCTACCTCCTCTGACCTAACCCGTTTTTCTTCCCAAACGAGGTAAAGTGTAAAAATTACCTCACTCTACCTCGCCCTACCTCCAACCAAACACTGCCTAAAACTTCCCTTTCCCGGTCATTCTGACCAATATTTCTAGGATTGTGATTTCCAGATCCGGCTGGTGGCCGCTGTTCATCAAGCCGCGGCAAATCCATCTGCTAATCGGCGGGTTTCTGCGTTTCATACTCCCTAAAGTTTAACCATGGCGTACAATCATCACTGTCACCATTTGTCTCAAAAGCTCTCCTTTTCGGCGTTTCATCCCAACGGGAATTCCTCATTTACTCTCCCACCTCGCATTCCCTCGAGCTGCCCTTATCGACGATTCGCCGTTTCAGTCTCGTCCGGCGGCGGAGAAGCTGCCGGCGTCAGATTCACTTGGGACGATGTGTCTCGAGTCTCTAATTCTCCTGGATATCACTCTCCTGACCTGCAATGCTTCTTCGATAAAGTTAAACTCTGTAATCAAAAATCGGTAAGCCCCCTTCAAAATTCTGTCATGGGACTGATTTTTATTGATCTTTTGTTATTGTTCATAGTTTAGGTTTTATGATGAAGATTTTGAAATTTGTTGCAGGAAAGTCAGAATGAGTTCATGCCATTTGTTGTGGAGAATGCAATAGTTGGATATGTTCACAATAGGTAATGCCCTTTAGTTTATGCGTAGGAGCAATGTACTAGATATGGAAAAAGCATCCATCTATCCATAAGATTCATCCAAAGATAAACCCATTCACTCCATCCATTCAAAAACTAATAATGATGGAAATGGGTTGGATTCAATTCGTTCATCTGTATTGTATGGATGTAATCCATTTAATTTTAAAGGAAAAAGCTACTTTGACACCACAGGGTTGACACAGGGGATGACAATCCTATTCAGTCCATCCATTCAAAAAACTAATTAGAATGGAAATGGATTGGATTCAATTCATTCATTTGTAGTTTATGGATGTAAGAACCCAATACATTTGAAAGAAAAAATGGTAAAAGCTACTTTGACACCACAGGGATGACACCAGGAATGACAATGTGGGTGCCTTTGTTCTCACTTGCAGTGACTACAGACAAACAGGGAATAATTCAGACGGTGTCACACATTGTGTCATGGTAGGCTGTAGCACAACATTTTTAAAAACCCACTGGATCATATTTTGTATTTCTTCCAAATGCATTAGAGTCATTGAATTTTTCGCATGCATACTCTATACATCCTAAAGTACAATGCATTGCACAATAATCTATACACTTGAAAAAGTATTAGGAAAATGGATGCATTGCCATTCAATATTCATCGGCGGGAAAAGTTGTTAATGGATGGATTATTAGATGGATCATGGATAAGTTTTTTTTTGAATTATTCCATCCCACAATTATTTTTTCAAAATAAAGTTTTCCCAATAATCCATTTTCACCTCCTATTTTGGACTATACTACTACTAACGTATTTTCCAGGACACAATCTTATGCAGGCTGTATCTTAAAATCTGCTGAATAAAAAATAGTTTAAAGAATAGATCTTTCATGAATGTTAAGATGCTGAAAGAACTGCATCACTGGAATTTTGCATATAATTAGAATTTTTTTGTTTCTACGTATCTATTTAAAGCTTCTTTGACGAGGGGATCAATTTAATGTTTTGTAGGTTTGCAGATAAACTGAGGAAATTTGAAAACGTGTTTGTTTTCCCTAATGGCAGTTCTTATGGAAGCTGTTTTGAGTGCCATGTTACATTAAATCCAATACTCCAAACACCTGAGGATAGGACTGCTGCTGTTGATGTAGTAGTTAGGTCTTTAGGGGAAGAACTGATTCCAGGTATACGGAGTGAGGTACTTCTTTTAATAGTTGAGCAATGCTATGCCCCATTTTACTCTGTGATTAATTAGAACTTATTGTTTCCATAAAATATACAATCGGCTTGAAGTGGTACTGACTATATATCATTTATGTCAATCACACAACCAGTTATTTCCAGTGACACCATCTTTTGATACACCAGCATTTTTCTCATTGGAAAGAGCTGCAGCACCATACTTTGGGATAAAGGTATGTTTTATTACTTCACACTGCAAACTACCAGAAAGTTAATATTAAATCCCATTATGTATCTAGTAGCAGAACTGTGTGTCAAAATGTCTTATTTTAACCATGCACCCTTTCCCCTTGCTTGAACTATGCATTTCAGGCTTATGGAGTTCATATGAATGGGTATGTTGAAAAAAGCGGGCAGAAATTTCTCTGGGTAGGAAAGAGAAGTGACAACAAAGTCACATATCCTGGAATGCTTGATCATCTAGTTGCTGGAGGACTGGTACATAGCTCAACTTGACATTAATTGATAATTCTTTGACAGACTAGAATAGTTTCAATGGAGCTAAAATAGTTGTGACTTGTGATTGAGCATGTTTTAGCTGTTGGCAAATAACATACTAAATCAGAATGGCACATTAAAAGTCCTTTGCTTCTCGCTTTCAGTGAAGTTTTGGATAGTAAATGCAGCAATGTTAACAGAAACAGTCTCTCTGTATTTTAGCATTGGGTAAATAATAGGCTAAATCAATATGACACATTCAACTTTCTTTGCTTCCTACTTTGGATGAAGTTTTGGATTGTAAATGCAGCAATGCTAACAGAAACAGTCTCTCTGTATTTTATTGGGATAAGATTGTGTACATCTTGACGCCTAGACCCCTACAAAGTTGGGATTATACTGGTTTGCTGACTTATTGTCTTTGACAGACCAAGATTTTGAGACTGAATATAAATTATCAACTTTGTTTAATTACTAGTTACTACACAATATTTTTTTTAGAGTAAATTCCATAACTGGTCCTTTACAAGAAGGGAGTTTCCATATTTAGTCCTTTATTTTATTATCAAATATTACTCATGTAGTCCTTTTATTGGTGCCTTTCCACAAATGGTCCTTTTTTAATCTTCTCCCATGTTGGTGTTACTGTGTTAGTTTAAAGGCCAAAAGTATAATTTGACATCAACCTTATGTCTGGTGGCGTATTCTGATATTGGTTAGATGAATAACACAAAAAATGACTATGATGTGAGCTAAGATTCCGACGAAATACCACATTTGTAGACGATGGTTGTAGTAGAAAGCGACTGTAGTTCACAAATGATGCATCAAGAGTGGCCTTTGGAATTGTGTATGAGAAGAAAGATATATTATCATTCTGAAATTACACTTTTAGCCCTCAAATTAACACAATAGAAGATCAAAAAAGGATTATTTGTGGAAAGATACTCTTAAAAGAAGGACCACCGGAGTAATATTTGAGAATAGAGACTAAATAAGGAAACCTCCTTGTTATAAAAGACCAATTATGGAATTTACTCTTTTATGGGAGGTATTTTTAGGTGCCTCACAAATCATTAACCACAAGAACCAACAACAACGTTGTAGACCTAGGTTTGCTGGTTTTGTTCTACTTACTATACTACTCCGTACTAATCAAAACTATTCATCTGTACTCTCTTATTTTCAGGTGGGGCATTTTTGTCTCAACTGAGTTCAGTTTTAGTTATTTACTGTGATTCAATTTTTGTTAACCTATGCGGTCATGATCACAGCCACATGGGATCTCTTGTGGAGAGAATCTTGTGAAAGAATGCAAAGAAGAAGCAGGCATTCCAAGATCTCTTTCCATCCAGTAAGTGGAATTGCACATTGTGTCAAAATTGGTGCTGAATATTAGAGGAACCTGAGTGTATTATCACAGATTAGTTGGTGGTATAATATGCTATTTAGCAACCTGGTTATCTTCTTGTGATCAGAGCTACACCAGTAGGAGCCGTGTCATACAGTGACATAGACGGATATAGGTTCAAGAGAGACGTCCTCTTTTGCTATGATCTCAAGCTTCCTGAAAGCTTTATTCCTAGTAATGAAGGTACTTGGTTTAATGCACATTTATGTGATCGAAAAGGTGAAGAAATTAGTAATAACAGTGACATAATTCAACTATATGTTTCTAACAATATAATCGGCGCCGTTGTCGTTAAGCCATAACGGTAATAAAAGATTCACATTAATAAACTAAGGCAAGGGTAGAGAAACACTTTCTTATAATTGGAATATTTATTTTGTTATGCAATTTTGCAGATGGGGAGGTCGAAAGCTTTAGACTGGTGTCCATATCTGAAGTTGCAAATATAGTAATGAGGACTTCGTATTTCAAAGCAAACTGCAATCTTGTTATCATTGATTTTCTTATACGGCATGGGTATGTACGTCTTCCACCATTTCAGTTGCCTACATTTTGTCAAAGGCTGAAGCTGAACTGCTATATGTATATATATGGTTTGATTTCAGCGTTAACTTATTGTACGTTTTTCTGACATTAAA